CGCATCCCAATAAAGATTCCACTCGTCTTGAAACAACACAGAGATGCTAGGCTAAAATTCGTTAGAGAGCATAAGGATAAAGAATATTCGTTTTGGGAAAAATTACTATGGACAGATGAAACTAAAATAGTTGTTTGGTCATAATTATCGAAATCATGTGTGGAGGAAGGACGGCGAGGCCTACTTACCTAAGAACACATTGCCAACTGTAAAGTGTGGTGATGATCTGAGGCTGTTTTTCTGCAAAAGGTGTTGGCAGAATATCAATAATAGATATCAAGATGAATGCCGAAAGCTACCAGAAAATCCTGCAAGACAATGCGTTCTGTTGAGACTTCGGCTACCTCCTGATTGGGTTTTCCAACTGGATAATGATCCTAAGCATACCGCTAGATCTACGAGGAAATGGTTAGCTGAAAGTAACGTGATGTCTTGCAATGGCCTAGTCAGTCCCCAGACTTGAACCCAATCGAGAATTTATGGCGATATTTGAAAATTCAAATTGGGAAAAGAGCACCAAAATATATAAAGAATTTGAAGACAATATGCCAAGAAGAATGGGACAAAATATCACTCAATATGTGAAAATCATTAGTTGAGACGTACATAAATAGACTGGTAGCTGTTGAACTCAATAAAGGACATTCCACAAAGTATTAAATTAAGTTAATATGCTTTTTTTGTTTTGTATGAATACTTTTTTCATCAGTTAAAATGAAAAAATGCATTAATTTCTGTTGGAATAAGAATTAAGTTTATTCCTATTTTTAATCAAATGTATCTTTACACATAAAATGTATCAAAATTTGTTTCAGTTAAGGCTTTTACATTTATAAAAATACAATTTTTCATGTGTACGAATGTTTATTTCCCCTCACTGTGTGTGTGTATATATATATATATATATATATGTGTGTGTGTGTGTTGCAACCAAGTATATGGTTAAAGAAATAACAAAACAAGTGTTGCAGATATATCATATATTAAAGGGTAAGTACAGCGGTAGAGTATTACATGACTAGTGATTGTGCGTCGTTTGAGCCAGCGTTCAATCTATTAGACTGTTCCCCCAAAGCCTGTGACACTATTTAGGGTTGCGTGAAAAAAAAGAAAAAAGGCGAGAATTAAATTAGGTGATAAGTATCTACGATGTTATTTTTTTCTAACAAGGAAAAGTGGTAAAGACTTTATTTTCATTAGCGAAGAAAGTAAGTTCGCGGATCTGTCGCGTTTGATTTATGATGGCGCACCGAGTGGAAGGTGGCAGTCTGTCCATGGCAATGGTGAAAATTTCAGGTCGGTCAGGTGGCCTACAGGGCAGAATTCTAAGAGATAAAAATTAATTGGGTCGCGAGAAAAATGTCCGCTGGACCACCCGCAGAGTACCAGGAAGGAAAGATTAAACCCTTAACTATCTGCGGAGGTATCATTTGAGAAAAAGCATCTGTTTTGTGTCTGAGCTGGCTATGATAGGAAAATTATTTTATCGAAACAGTTAATTAGCGACAGAATGCAAAGTCGTCCAGATGACCATCCACTTGATAATTGGCGAAAATCTCGTTGACGAATTCCAGACGAAATTCGGTTAAGATAGAGATTCGAGTCGTGTGAGATCTGTTCGAGAAAAAGAAAGAAAGAAAGGAAAGAAAAAAGAAGATATTTTTTTTTCTTTGGGAGATAATTTTGAACTGAGGCCAGTCCGGCCACACCCACGCTGCAGAGCGCTCATTGGCTGAATGGTGGCGTGAAGGTAATCATGTGAAGAAGGAGGGGAGGCTAGTTGACGCCCCCTGAAGGGATCGGTGTGAGATGCCACTGTGAGAGAGAGGGGAAACCCGCTGACGCCTCTGAAGGGATTGGTATGAGATACCCATATGAGAAAAGAAGAATGGGGGAGGAAGATTCCCTACCCTAGAAAGTAAAGACTTCCAAAAATGGAAATTAATAAATCTTCCTGACCGAAAACAAAGAAAACTCTTAATGCGGATTTAGAATTATCAAGGAACCTCAAACCCCGACAGGCCCACCCGGGTTTTGGTCGGCGTCCATATAAGCAGAGTCGCAATGAGTAAGACGGTAGTTCGCAGTTGAGTTCGCAGTTGAATTGATTTGGGTTGGAGTTGCAGAGTGAGACCGCCTCGCAGAAAGCTGACTAAGATTCCACGCAATTACGAACTCAACTTCTAACCAAGAACAATTTATTTTTGAAGAACGACTTACTCACACCACCAAAACAAGTTTTACGAATATCGCCTGAAGATACACCAAAACCAGTTTCTTAAAAGAACAATTTAAGATGTTAAGACTCGCCTAACAAACGCAAAGTGTCACGTATCCATATTAGCGGTTTTGGAGGAAGAGGCAGTCCTGTATTCAGCAACCAGATATAAAATATTGTTATCCTTTTTTTAACACATTTGAACTTTTCGAGTTATCACTTTATTTTCTTTTACATATACTTGTGCGGTATTACCCTTGTTCGGACTCGACTTGCATTACGGACCGGCGACTGATTGATTTCGTCTACCTAAGATCAAATCACAACGTGGGTAGGTTAGACTAGAAATCAAAACAGTTACTTCGGTAACCAGACGTTGGATACGAGCTGGGAACGACAAGGCTGATACCGAATCTAACCAGATTCCCATCCGAATCAGCAAAGGGTTAGAACGTCACGTTTGGTGCCGCGACCAATACCAAGTCACATTGGTCGTCACAGGATAGGATAGGACAGCGGCGGCGCGGAGACAGACGGGTTGACGTCACAATTGGCGCCGCGACTAGGACAGCACGGCGGGCGCTGCCAGGCAGACGTCACATTTGGCGCAGCGACACCGGGGGACGTCACAGCCTTCTCTCCTACTAATCTTATAGTAGGCGGAAGAGTCCAATATAGACTCTTTAGAGAGAGAGAAAAAAAAATTCTATAATGGATAATTTTTTTCACGTTCTAATGAACGCTCCTCACATTTTCAACCGTTTTGCATTAAAAAGCATAATGAAAAAATTATGGTAATGGATAACAACGCACAACTTTGTATAAATACTTATATTAATGAACAACATATAGTTTTGTACTACTTGCACTACTAAAGATGATCTTGGAAAAAGATCGAAAGTACCTGGGAAATGAAAATAAAAGAAATTTAAACAGCTATAGCACATTTCTCTTATCATATAACATCCATACACCTAAGGTTATTCCTGAGTATTAACGAATTTTGTTAAAAAAATTAGCAGACATAATGTCTGTACTTTATTCAATCATAAATGCCAAAAAGAGGATTTGCTACCCAAATACACAAATTATATATATATATATATATATATATATATATATATATAAGCGGACACTGAGATCAACACCGAGCGGTGACAATCTGTTTCAAGCTTGAACACAATCTTCAGACCATGTAACAATAAATTTAAATTATAGTTTAAAAACAGTAAAATCGACCTTGCTAACCGAAACGCTCCTCTGTGGCTCAATCGGTAAAAGTACGTCAGGCTATATGACTGTTCCGTGTAGGATACAGGTTCGAATCCTGTCAAAGGACGCATATTTTCTGTGAAAATTTCTCAGACATTCAGGCCGGTAAATGTCTTTAATACTGTTTATTATAAAAAGAGCATTTACTGAAATATTTGTATCTATAAAAAGAACGTATAAACATAAAAAAAATGTCTTAAAATATTTATATTTATATGCTCTATCCCTGATATTGAAGACTGTGGGAGAGGAGGTATTACTAACACTCCTTTGTTTATTTTCTTGTATATAAATTTTGTAATCATGTTAAATATTAATTAGGGTTTAATTTTTTTAATGTTATTTTATTCCGCCCACACCAGACAAATTGTACATATAGGAACTAGTTAGGATTTTATAGAAACTTGAGGCATTAGGTGGCTGTTGTAAGAATGTTAAGAATTTTTGTTTTGGTGTAAGGAATTGTGGCTAGCTAAGTTTAAGATAAGACAGATTGAAGACCATCCCTCCCTATTGGCCTTGTGCCATATATTAGTATTTTTTTAAAATAAATATTACTTCAATATTGTTTTTATTAAATTTTTTTTTGTTTTTTCAATAAAGTTTTGCAGGTTAAATGCGTATATATTAATGTCAAAAGCATTCCGGCAATATTAGTTTTTCTGTACGAAGAAGTTGAACCAAATAATTTTTCTCATTCTATTAAATTTTGTTTATTGTAACTACGTCCCCATTTATTCAATGCCTGTTACAACCTTGGCGCGTTAAACATCTTTTTTGTTCTTATCCTGTGGTTGATATATCTCTTTTCTTTTTTTCTTTTTTTTTCTATTCCAGCTCCTCCTGCGACAGGAGTATAATATTATAACAGTGGTCCCATAGACTACTATAGTAGTAGTAATAATAATATATACTAATAATAATATATACTAATAATATATAGTCGTAATAGTAATTTTTGTTAAATATTAGTTATCTTTGCCAATTTTATCATCAAAAAACTCACAAAGCATTTCATTTACAGTTTTTTTTTTTTTTGTTTTTTCACTAGACCTTGAAGAAACCGAACCTAAAACACATCGGTGAAACGTGTTGTTTAAAAGCTTTTCCAATTTGCCCAATTATCTCTATATAGGTTTCGAATAATATTCTACATCCTACTAACGCACACACACACACATACACACGTGTGTGTGTTAATGGATCCTCTACGTCCGTCTACGAAACTCTGGAGTCGGGATGCTAAAGGTAACATAATTCAGCTAGGTGACACATTTTTACTGATATATATATTTAAAGTTAAATTTTTAAAGTGCACACGGACTTTATGGACACCTGTATTTTTATCATATATATATGTGTGTGTGTGTGTGTGTGTGTTGCGTTTTATATAGGGGACACTGATTCAATAAGTACAATTTCAATTCTTCGCATTATGCAAACTTTTAATTATGTATTGTTCATTGCCAATGTTAAGAACCTGCTATAACCAGAAAGGTGGGGAACAAAAATGAATTATAAACCTCCTATCCTGTACCAATTTCTTTCCAGCCCAGAGGCTACAAAAAACGCGATAGACCTTGCTAAAATGGCTGCTCTGGTATCCATATTAAAAGCCCTGAGTTCCCCGGAAGAAGCAGATTTGCCGACTGCATGCAATTTCCGGAACGTTACTCGGCTCGACGGTACGCCGATGATCAACTTGACATGTTAACTGCTTGGACGAAAAACGAAATTGTTAGGCAAGCGAAGTCCCACAATGACTGTTGACAGAGAGAAAAATTGTATTCCATTAGTAAAACATACTTTTTTTTTCTTTGTCTTCTTTTCTTTTTTTATGGAATAGGAATTGTTTGCAGTTGCTTTTGTTTCTTCCTTCCTTAATTTCCTTTCTCTCTGTATCCTTTATTTTCATCTTGCCTATTTTCACAATAGTCTGGTTCCCTTTTTCAACTTCCTTACTAAATTGTTTTCCATTATCAAATATCTCTGCTTCATTTATTTCTTTTTTTCTATTTCTTCTTAAATTGTTTTTTCTTTCTTTTTCTTTGCTTTCTTTTTTCTTTCTTTTTCTTTGCTTTCTTTTTTCTTTCTTTTTCTTTGCTTTCTTTTTTCTTTCTTTTTCTTTGCTTTTTTTCTTTCTTTTTCTTTCTTTTTTTTTGCTTTTCTTTTCTTTTCTTTGCTTTTCTTTTTTTTTTCTTTTTTTTTTTTTTTGTTGCTTTCTTTTTTCTTTCTTTTTCTTTGTTGCTTTCTTTTTTCTTTCTTTTTCTTTGTTGCTTTCTTTTTTCTTTCTTTTTCTTTGTTGCTTTCTTTTTTCTTTCTTTTTCTTTGTTGCTTTCTTTTTTCTTTTTTTTTGCTTTCTTTTTCTTTGTTTTTCTTTCTTTTTCTTTGTTGCTTTCTTTTTTCTTTCTTTTTCTTTGTTGCTTTCTTTTTTCTTTCTTTTTTTCTTTGTTGCTTTCTTTTTTCTTTCTTTTTTTCTTTGTTGCTTTCTTTTTTCTTTCTTTTTTTCTTTGTTGCTTTCTTTGTTGCTTTCTTTTTTTCTTTGTTGCTTTCTTTTTTTCTTTGTTGCTTTCTTTTTTCTTTCTTTTTTTCTTTGTTGCTTTGTTCTATTTCTTTCTTTTTTCTTTGTTGCTTTCTATGTTTTCTTTTTCTTTTTGTTGCTTTCTTTTGCTTTGTGTTTTTGTTGCTTTCTTTTGCTTTGTGTTTTTGTTGCTTTCTTTGTTTTTTTTTTTTTTTGTTTTTTTTTGCTTTCTTTTTGCTTGTATCTCTTTTTCTAATTCTCTGTCTATTTTTTAAATGTTCGTCTCTTCTCTCTTTACTCTTTCTCTGCTTCTCCCTCGTTTTCTTCCCCCTCGTTTTCTTCCCCCTTTTCTCCCTCTGTCTACATATATTCTCCCGCCGATACGACGTATGTTAGGTCCTTCTTGAGCACTACTGATAACACGTAACACGGTACAGTCGACTCATATTGTTGAGTGGTCTACAACGACTAAATCGGCAAATAAAAAAGGGATACTATACTGAAAAATGCCACAAACTTACCAAAAACGGAGTTTTATTGTCAAAAAACAAAACGTTTTTTTAATATTATGGTTTTTTAATCCTTTTTAGAACATAATTTTGATTAAAAAATCTTGTTTTTCTTTCGTAAGCAGACGGATTATAAATTAGCAGAGCAAATTTTAGCATCTTGTTTGCAGTAAAAGGCACAGTGATTTGGAAATTTTTGAAAAATATCAAATAATTGTCGGATTTTAATAAAACTTTCAGGACTTATTTACAAAGGAATTAAATTATTTTATGAAAGTTTTGTCTTAGAAAATCTTGGTAAAAGTATCGTTCCGTTTACATGCGTTCCCCTCCCTACTTACTTAATTTTATGAAAACTCGAGAAATTCAAAGGTGTAATTTTAGTGACTGTATTCGATACAAGTAGAACTCTTTGGTGAATTTAAATCATCAATTTATTTTTGGAAAATCAGATGACCAGTTACCAAAAATCTGCTCTGAATCGTAAAATAAAAAAGCAATAAAACTAATAAATTATTTAATTTAAAAAAAATAATTGCTTTTATGAATAAGATTTATTAAGAACAATATTGTCTTAAGAAAAAAATTGCGATAAAAAATGAATTTTTACAAGAATTGTTTTCATTTTTAAAATTTTAATTAGAATATTTTATGAAGTTTTATATGTTTCAAAATTCATCTCAAAGATCTAAAGGTTAGGGAATATTATTATTAAGTAAAACTATATATACTAATCATAAACCGAAAAGCTTATTACAATGTGAGATTGATCAGTACTTTAAAAAAAATTTTAAATTATTGTTTGTGTATAAACCTGCCGATTTTTGTAGATACAGGTGTACATACACGACATAACTATAGTAAATGTAAAGCCAAAATATATAAAATTCAATAAAAAAATGAATTAGGTTACGGATAATATTTTCTTAAAATATTTTCTTTTATGATTACTGAATATTTAAAATTTGAGTACTCACGTTAATTCTATTATTTTTACGGCTAAAGCTCTCATACAACAATATGAGATAAATATTAATCAGTCATCAATCTGTCAAACACGTCAACAGTTTAAATAATCAGCTACAGCTGTGTTAAAAATACTTTAAACTTAAAGTAAATAATATTTGTTTCAAATCAGATTAGTTACATTTAAATCAGCTAATATTACTCAGTTTCAAAAAAGTGTATTTTATTATTGGAAGATTTTTTTTTTAAATAAATAGAATTGTTGTGTTGACAGTGGTCAATATGGCTAATTTTAGCAATTTAAAAAAGAATGGCTTTGAAATGATCGAAAGCTAAAAAAAATGGCGCTAAATTAAAAATTTAAGAGTTTTAAAACGAAAACTACTTCCAATCAATTTAAATTGGTTTTGAAATACAGCGGAGTAGTTTTCTTATTAAAAATATTAATCTATTAGCTTGAAATTAAAACTAAAATAAAAGCAACAAAAGGATTTTTTCATTTTTAAAAATTCGTTTTAAACAAGACGTATCTCGGATTTATGAAGAATGACAGATAATGAACAGAGTTAGATAAATTCCACACTCTCTTAGCCCTCTCCCCCAAAAAGGAAATCTGTAAGACAAGACTTATAAGAATTTTCCTTTTGTCACATTGAATGAAACATGCATGACAGAATGGTTGCTGTTCAAATATACAATATTTAAATGTAGATCTCTACGTAGAGAGAAGAGATATGAAATGTTGCGGAAAAGTTTTCGATCCAACGCAACCAAGCGATTATCAAAATTTTCTGATGTTTGGTCGTTTAGGCACATTTTGAGAAGTGAATAGAGCCGAGAATTTTCATCACCTCCCAGTTTATCTGTATTAACGGAAGTGTATACAGACTTATCTATTTTCACTAGTTTGTTTCATATGTGGATCTTCAGTACGCACATATCCATAAAATTGCGTATGTTTTTGTCCGCTTTTCTCTTAGCACAAACTTCACCTTCATTCTGATGTACAGACAAAAACAACCCAATGAACAACTATGGAGAATAAAAGGGAAATTAATGGCGAAATGTTCTTTGAGGATTCCGAGTGCTTCAATGGGTCCACAGTGAAATCACTTCCTGTGGGTATTCATCCGGTAAAAGCGGAGATTTCATATCACAAATATGCATCGTCAACACGATTAAGTCGTTCTACTGGGATCTATTTTCAGGCTATCAATTCCATCTGTTCGACAATTCAGCGGGTAGAAACGATGCATTACCCAACTCACCATCTTGTATATTACCAACAAAACGGAATTGAGGCTCTGCTATTGCTGTGTTAAAAAGAGTTAGAAAAAAAAATTAAACGCTAAATGACTTCACCGCTTTTCGTAGTATCTGTGGTGGAGTTTTTCTTTGATCGAATCTTTTCTCTTCAATAAGTTTTTCAAATATGGAAATTTAGCACGAAAACTAAAGACTGTTCTTCTCGATTGAGATTTTATTATCAGTAGACATCAAAGCTGGTTTTCTTTCTTACAAATATCATCAGTCCACGACGGAGTGTGGTCGGAGGGCCACTGCACGATTTGAACACCTGACGAATTTTCTCTACACATCTGGGTTGAACGTTGAAGATGTATTCATTCATTTCATACATTATTCGAAAAGTTCATTAAAATTATAATTCATTCAATTCTAAAATTTCATTCGAATCCGCAATTCAAAATGATATTTTAGACGTGTACCGTGAAGTCTTTTCTTATAATTTTAAAGCTTAATTCAATTTAGAAGATATATCTGATCAAAGAACACTTGAAACTCCAGCAAGTACCTCCTTCCTCCTGCTATTCTCTACCTTTATAAGAACTAGATCAGGCGGAAAACGGACTACTGCTGCCATACATGGGCAGCAGTTACCCAGTCTTCACTTTCCACTCTCGATAGAGTCCAAAACCGTCTCCACCGGTCAACCTTTTTCTTACAGACGAGACGTCGCAAGACTCTCTCTGGTCTATCGCTATTTTGATGAACTTCCCTCCTTAGTTCCGCCAATCCTAACCTTCACGGCTAAAATCGACAAGATTACACATATTGTAGCGAACCACCGTCATTGCCTTCGTATTTCCCTGGGGAAATGTAAATTCCACTCAAGTAGCATCTCCCCACGAACCACTGCCTTGTGGAATCGATTCCTAAGAAGTTGCTTACCCGATCACTACAATTTTAGCCTGTTCAAGTCTAGGGTTAAACGTTATCTTCAACACGCATCTGCATAAGCTGTGCCTCATACTCTGTAACCCTCTACCTTGAGTGGCACTCGGGACTTTTATAGGGTGAACATCACTGTAAAAATGTAAATGACAACAACGATGAGGACATTAATCCAAATGTATATACCTCACTCCTACTATTCTCTGGCTTTGCAAGAGCCAAATCAGGCCGAAAACGGATTACTGCTGCCATACATGGGCAGGAGCTACCCAGTCTTCACTTTTCACTTATGATAGTCCCAAACCGTCTCCGTGTCCTTGTAGGCGACGAATTATTTTCCACTATTCAACCTCTTTCTCACAGACGAGACGTCGCAAGACTCTCGCTGGTCTATCGCTATTTCCATGGCGAGTGTTCCTTAGCCGTGAAGGTTAAGACTGGTGCAACTAAGTCCAGCCACACCACGCCCACTGTAGTGAACCACCCTCATTCTCTTCGTATTTCTTTGGGGAGATGTAAGTTCCACTCGAGTAGCATCTTCCCACGAACCACTTCCTTGTGGAACAGACCCCCAAAGAGGCTGCTTACAATCTTACTACAATCTTAACCTGTTCATGCCTGGGGTTTATCGTTATCTTCCATATATATCTGCATAAGCCGCACCTCTTACTCTGTAACCCTCTACTTCGAGTGGACCCACGTCCTTGTACAGGGTAACCACTACTGTAAATGGCCTGAATGTGAAACTTCGACATTATTCATTCTTCTTTTGCAAACATTTCATGCTGCCCGACAAATAAAATAATAAATAAAGGCCATTAGAAACTACCCCAGTGAGCGAAATAAAGGGTTCAGTTCGACATTCCAACCACCTAAAGAAGGCCGGAGCGTACAACGGCCGAATCATTGTAATAAATATGGCGACAAAGACGAGGACAATAGTCCGAATAATGTAAATAAGAAACTTGGTTGTTAAGTTTTATATCTATGATAAAAAAAAATGATATAAAAGAAATGATTTGTTTCTCCTAATTTGCTTTTTGTTTACATCGCATTGCTTTATTGAAATAAAATTCTCGATTAATTTTGTTCATTTCTCAGATTTCTCTGAGCACCCCTTATTCAAACTCACTTATTCTAACACACTTTCTTCAAGATGTTTTTTCCTTTCTTGGCGTAGGCGATCATGGGTATCCACAACTTTCTATGTTGCCCTTAACAATGTATGTACCTTTTCCAATCCTCCGTTTTCGATTCACACATGCTTGTCAGCTCTCCGGCTTCCCCTATCCCTCTATATGCCCAGTGAGTGTCAAATTCTCTAAACCTTCCTTCCTCATGTCCATGATATTTTAGTTGTCTCTTTCTGATTCTAAGTGTTCTTTTTGTTCCCATTTACCTTAAGACTTCTGTGATTCGTTCCTAGAATTCTCAGTATCCTTCTGTAGACCAATATTTCTGTTGCTCCAGTTTTCTCTTCATCTTTTTGCATTCACCGTCATAGAAGAGGACATATATTACATAAGAGTCCAGTTAGAGTATTAACCAATGAGGGCAGTAAAAAGATTTGTGTGCCAACAAAATGTTCAATCGCAAATCCGTGTTAAAAAAAAAGTCCAAAGGTCAAAGCTGTCGTAAATAGTCCAGCAGGTAAATTAATACCGAAAAAAGGGGTCAAAAATCTAGCCTTTAACTCGCAACAGAGGAAACGCACTTTCGCTCACCACCCTCAAAAATCTTTCTCCTCGTTAATCAGCATGAGCCATGTATTCATCTACAAGATCATTCAGCTCCCGATAATCTAGTATGAAGCGCACCTTTCCTTTGTTCCTCTGCACCACGGCCATTTAAACTAGATTAGGCCTCTTGAAGGACCAAGCTCTTCTTCGGGATACTGAGTCAGCTATTCATTATCCAGCCACACCTGCAGTTCGCGCTGGTATTCCCTACTGACGTGTCCAGGCAGCGAGCACTCTGACACCCAGTTCTGTACCTTGTCTCGTGAGTTATTTTCTGACCATTTCCACAGTGCTGTCCATGCAAATTAATACCGAAAATGAAGTAAAAAATCCAGCCTTCCTCTCGCAACAGAGGGAACGCATACCAAGCTCAAAAATCCTTCGATCTTTATTGCGTATAAGGCTTAAAAGGGGGAAATGGTTGAGGCTGGTCGATACTTATCTTATACGTAGCTAATTAGATTCACGACTCATTCATTCATGAAAATTTTCACATCCACCACCAAAACCCGTCCGTTATCATTCAATCCTACATATACCACAATAATCGCACACACACTGTGAACCTACATAACACCCAATGACAATAGGGGAGATCGGATTAACCCTCTCGAAAATCCTTCTCCCCACGTTAATCAAAGCAATGGCTTTTAGTCACAGAGAATTTTTTTCTGGTTGGCCACGCCAGTCAGGGAGGAAAGTTTGAAGCTTATAGTGGCACTTATATATTCTTGAATTTTCCATCGGCAGACAACGAACAAAACACGAACGCTTTTTCGAGGTAGGTGATTTTTCTCTTTCGTTACAAGTTCAACCCTCTTTTCTTTCGAGTCTGTCTATATTTCTGAGATGAGGTATTATGTACAGTATTTACATTAGTCGGACTATTGTCCTCATCTTTGTCGCCATATTTGTCACAACGTTTCGGTCGTTGTACGCTCCGGCCTTCTTCAGGTGGTTGGAATTTCTTTGTTCCTAACGAAATGTTCCTGTTTCTACATTCTTTGCTTAGCTTCGTGAATGCATCTTTCGCTAATTCATATCCAAGTTTCTGTCTCGCATTTTCTATTATCTGTTAAAACACTTCCCAGATATCTAAAATTGTTTGATGCTGGCATCGCCAATTTGTAGTCTGCATCTTGAGCTTTGTTTTTTGCTGACAACCATATTTTCTGCTTTCTTACAGATGACAATTAGTCCCTTCTTCTCGCTTTCTTTCACTACCCTGTCTAGGAGGTCTTGTAGTTTTCCTTTTGTGTCTGCCATCCACAGTGTCATCTGCGTATCAAATATTGTTAATATTGCGCCCACAGATAAAATTCTGGTAAAGTCCCCAGCTTCCTAAGGATATTCTTCCTGTAGAGGTTGAACAAATTCAGAGATTTTGTAAACAAATTCCTCCTCTCTCGTTTATTTCAACACTTCCATTTTATTCAAAACCTGCGGTTGATTTAATTTAAGCGCCTACAGTAGAGTAATTGATAGCACACACATTTCTCAAACCACTTCCTGATTGAGTGATTGTTTTTTTACGGCTTATCGACCCTTTGCAGGTTATTTAATGCCAGAAAATACTTTTCGACTGTAAGACTTATTTGGAGATAATAATGATTTACTTATTAAAAAATCCTACTAATTAATCCATAGATTGGGGGAAGAGGTGAATTCATTCCTTTCCCAAAGGTATTTGCAGGCAAGTGAATATAACTAACCCGACCAGAATCGAAACTTGACCTGTTATCCATTACACCACCTGCACATCCAAACTTACAGCGCATTGTATTCCCAAGCAGTCAGCCATCTAAGTAGTTACCAGGCTCGACGTTGCTTCACTTCGGTGATCTATGGGAACCGCAAACCACTTCACGTGTAGTATGATCTTTATTGATATCTTTAAACTTGTAGCCTTGTGCCAGTTTAAGGTAGAACTTGCTCAATAGTTACCAAGTTCATTTAGTAGTCTTTTTAGCTACTGTAATCAATCAGGTATTCACTGGGGACTCCTTTAATGTGGCCTTCACCCAGATTAGACTCACCTTAGCAAATGACATATATATATATATATATATATATATATATATATATATATATATATATATATATATATATATATATATATATAACAAAACATTTTCCTAATATATAATGCAAAATTATTTCATCATTTTACATTCTAAATTTCTAGATATGACCGTAAGTTTTATGCTAACAGTTTCTTCTCTCGCACTTCTCGCTTGTGGAACTCTCTTCTGGCTTCTTGCTTTCCAGCCAACTTTGATCTTCAAAAATGTAAATGCAATGTCAATTGTTATCTTCTGTCTTAATTTTTGTTCTTTTATTGTTCTCATTTTATTTTCTCACATTCTTTCGCACTCAATAACACCATGCGTCTTAGTGTCTTTATTGCCTTGCTTGGAGTAGAATGATTAAAACAAGAATGAAATTCTAATTCACACAAACAAAAAAAGTCAGCAGACATTATCTGAAACCCTGGTAATAAAGAATACTGATGCAGAATTATGATACCGAAATTTATTTAATTTCATTCTGAAATGAAGATAAAAAGCGGGAAAATTCGTGCGAGAAAATGGCGAAAATTAGCGTAACAAAAGGAGTCCTTTGAAGAAAGGAGTGGCTCGTTTCTCTTTAATGGTTGTTTTCGCCTGTTAAAGGCTCTGCTTCATTTCAAGTAGAAAGATTTTCCACTTGGCATAGATTTTTGCCTTGTGAGTTAAAGAATATCAAACGGGGAATCAGCTAACCTGTTTCTCGTTTCTTTTCTGTCGTTAAGACAATGATTTGAAAGACTTCATTTTACACGTCTCACGTTTCCATTCTGACTGGGGAAAGATAAGCGTGTGTAAATTCACACGCATTCTCTCTCGCGCGCTTTCTCTTTCTCTCTCGCGCTTTCTCTTTCTCTCTCTCTTTCTCTTTCACTCTCTCTTTCTCTTTCACTCTCTCTTTCTCTTTCACTCTCTCTTTCTCTTTCACTCTCTCTTTCTCTTTCACTCTCTCTTTCTCTTTCACTCTCTCTTTCTCTTTCACTCTCTCTTTCTCTTTCACTCTCTCTTTCTTTTTAATTTCAAATTTCTACCTTTCTATCACTTTCTTTTTATGCTTATCACTTCTCTCTCACTCGCGCGTACGCTTTTTCGCAATGCATCTTTTCGGTTTTTTTTTTTTTTTTTTTTTTTTTGTTGTTTGCATCTTCCCTCTCTTTCTATCTATCTATCTTTATCTCACGCTCTTACTCTTTTCATTTATATCTCTTTACTCTCACACCCACTTCCTCCATCACTCTCTCCATTTTACTGAGGTATTTCTCATTTCTATATATAGCATATACATAACATAGCTTTCCAGGCTCTTCTCTCTGTTACACACACACACACACACACACACACACACACACACACACCGTCTCCTTCCAATAAGTACACCCACCAATACTTGTATACACTTATATGCACGCCAACTTGAACATACTTTTATGAATATGCGTAAGTTTAGAACAGTATCAATTCATATTTTGTACTAAAAATAATGGCACGCGTGATATACAGAAGTGAACTCGCTTATTAACCTGGCAAACAGTGTGAGAGAAAAAAAATCCTTATTAGGCTCCTGTCAGAAAGCATTAGGAAAAGATTCAGTCGTCAAGTTAAATATAGATAACACAGAACTCGAAATTTTTCTACCCGGAATTGATCCTCCAGATCTACAAATGGAGTATTGCTGCCATATATGGTCTGGAGCCCCTTCTGTTTGCCTCGGGGTTCTTGATAGGCTCCAGAGGCGGATATGCGATATAATTGGCCCTGTTCTGGCATCTCGTCTACAGTTGCTCTCTCACAGACGCGCCGTCGCCTCTCTCGGTCTTTTTTACAAATACTTTCATGGCAATTGCTCCGAGGAGCTGCATTCGCTGGTTCCCAGACTTCATGAATTCAAGCGCCTTACGAGGCTGGCATCCCGCTCTCACCCTTTCACTGTCGAAACTCCTAAATATAGCCGTCTCTTCTACTCCAATAGCTTCATGTCTCGCACCTCTCGCCTGTGGAACGCCCTTCCCTATTACAGATTCCATGAGAGCTATAATCTCCAATTATTCAAATGTAATGACAATCGAAATCTCCAGTTGCCTTAATCTATCCACTACCCTTCTCCTCATCCTTTCCTCTATTACTCCTATCTGATCTTGCTCCAAATTTTCTGTAACCCCTTGCGTCCAGGTGGCTTCCCGCCTTGCTTGGAGTGAAACGCTTAAATATATATATAATGTTAATTAGTACATATACGTGCACCTACGTTTTAGTGTACGACTAAAGTTTCTCTGGATTACCAACTCGTCGGCCACAAGATGTAAGTTGTTAAATTTAAACAAACGATTTATGGGAGTATCACTGCTACGTAGAGCAAAAATAAAATTGCCCAGAAGTGTGTTAAATGAGATGCTAGTGAGTTACATTTAAAAAAAAAATAGAAAAATGTGAGAAGAATAGAAAAAAAAAGAGTAAGCCATTTCTTTACATTTAACAACTTACATCTTGCGCCTGACGAGCTGGTAATCCATCGAAACTTTAATCGCACACCAAAACTTAGGTACACGTATATGTAGTAATTAATATATATCTTTGCTCTGTATAACCACATTGAGCACTATTATGTTTACACCTCATGTATAAATTTGACGATTATTTATTTGCTTGCCCGCGCATGCCATGCATACCAGCACGCGCGTATACGTATTTATCTGTGTGTAAATTCTCTCACTCTCACTCTCTCTCTCATTCTCTCTCTCACACTCTCTCTCACACTCAAACTCTCTCTCTCTCAATCTCTCTCACTCTCACTCTCACTCTCACTCTCTCTCTCTCTCTCTCTCTCTCTCTCTCTCTCTCTCACTCTCTCTCTCTCTCTCTCTCCTCTCTCTCCTCTCTCTCTCTCTCCACTCTCTCTCTCTCCTCTCTCTCTCTCTCTCTCCTCTCCTCTCTCTCACTCTCTCTCAATCTCTCTCTCTCACTCTCTCTCTCACTCTCTCTCTCAATCTCACTCTCTCTCATTCTCACACACTCACACACACACACACTAGCACGCGCGTATACGTATCTATCTTATATATATATATATATATGAGATCTAATCAAAAAGTATCGGGACTGGATGCTAGAAAATGTAAGCTACAACACATATGAATTAGACATTTAAACATTTAATCTCCTTTGAAGTAGTCCATTTCTGAAGCCACACACTTTATCCCTCGTCGCATACTCTTGGATTTCTTCGACATCTACAAATATTATTCCTTTCAAGTGGGATTTGATTTTTAGAAAGAGAAAAAGGGAGAAAGCGGCAAGATTTGCGGAATATGGTGGTTGTCGGACCAGGGGAATGTTGTCACGCGAAAAACTGCTGAACATACCATGGTAATTGGTGGAACCTTTGTAGTGTGGTGAGACGACCACACTCTACGCACTTTCCTACCAAGCACTGTCATAAACAACGGAAGCGTTATAACTTAGTGCGCCTGCGTAACAAAACACAAATTCAGTGTGTCAAATGGTTTCACTCTGCGTACTTTATCTCCGTTACCATGGCAACAGTTTAGACCTCGTATGTGAAAGAATGAAACAAAGTCCTGTTAAAATTGCCGCTAAGATTTAACATTATGCCTGCGCCACGTACAGAGAAATTTAAATTATACTATTCTTCTTTTATCGCAAAGATTATTAACAATCTGTGCCAAGCCGCTTTACATACTTCGCTACCATACCAACTGACTGATACTTTTTGATCAGACTTCGTGTGTGTGTGTATATATATATATATATATATATATATATATATATATATATATATATATATATATATATATAATGAAATAGATTATCTTCTGTTTATACGTTATTTTTTTAAAATATATACTTAAGTAAATGTTCTGTTTTTAATTAAACATTATTAATCATATTTACCGACTTGAATGTTCGAGAAATTTCGTAGAAAATACGCGCTCTCCGACAGGTATGATCGATCGAGAAAAATCGTCGAAAATTGTGTTTATAAACAGTAATTTGAACTTTGCTAATCAGACTTTTCTCTGTAGCTAAATGGCATAGCAAGTCAGATCAAATGACGGTTTCCGTATAGGAATACAGGTTCGATTTCTGTCAGAGAACCCATATTTTCGTAGAAAATATCTCGAACATTCAGGTTGGTAAATGTAATTAATACTGTTTAGTTAAAAACAGATCATTTACTTACATAAATTGTATCTATAAAAATAACGTATAAACAGAAAATACATTACATATATAGAATGGCATTCTCGTCTACCATTACAGGTACCAAACCCTCTTACAGACACCTATTCTCTTTCTTATATTGCTGATATACTGAGCAGACCTTAGTTACGGTTTCTAGAAAAGAATGCATCTGACGCGATTAATTTGTTTAACAAGGCCAATGTGGCCAAACCTTACATTTGGCCACAACCATCAAAGGCTTCTGAAACCGATAACACCAGTAAGTCACCTCTATCTCTTTTTTTTCCCCACTATTTATCTCCGTCTTTCTCTACTTGTTTAACCCTCACTCTCTCACACACACACACATATATATATATATATATATATATATATATATATATATATATATATATAATATAGGTGGTAATAGTCACTATACAGTTAATTGTAATAAAAAAAGCAAAACATTGAATCAAGTGGTTTGCAGTTCTAACAGTATTGGTAATTAGTTTACCATAGCATTTTATTGTTATTAACCAGAACCATTTTAATACATTTCAGGACTGATGATTAATTGCTTTGTTTTAATTGTTATTGTAACTATATTGTGACTTTATTGTCACCTTCTATACACTTCTGTCTTTGTCTGTCTCTCGTTTCTTTTATTTGGTTGTCTCTGTTTCTCCTTTGACTTTTCTTTCTCTATTTTTTACCCTCTCTTTCTTTATCTATACGTCTAGTTTTCTGTTTGTATCTCTCACTCTCCTTCTCTCTAGCTGCCAACGTCCTACCGAGATGAGACGCGGTACGTGAATCGCCAATTTAATGGTTGAAGTCGCTAATGCGCACAACTCACACCAACTTAAAACCCCACTACTAGAAGAATAAATGCTATTATAGGAAGTGGGTGGGCCTTTAATAGTCGCAGAAGGTTTTCTTAAATCTTTGTTCACGAAAGCAAACAATGATGATGACAGTTAAAGAATAGAGTAATAGTTGATTTAATCGGGTAAAGATTCAAATTATTTCCTATCATGCTTCGTCTTTTTTCTAACCAACCATGACATAAAGAGCTTCTTTTTTTTTTAATTTCGTTTTCATGGCAAAGAAATGTTTCAAGTTATTCATGCAAAATGATTTACGAGACCATCCTTTAACCTTTGAGACTATCTACAAAAAAAACCTTCATACGAGTTTGACGACCAGGGAGTCCCAACGATCGTCCTTCCTTATTGAGAAAAGAATAAAGCAATCTAGTCCTAAAATAAAATAAAAACATTTTTATAATATAGACCAGGGATGGCGAAACTTGCTTAATATAAGTCACATAGGATAAAATCCAAATGTTTGAGAGCCGCAAGCCATCAACAAAATTTACACATAAGTTTTTCTTACATACACATTATTAAACTTACATTTTAATCCAATGGGGTCTCAATTCAATCCAGTAAATAACTATAAAGCTTGTAATATGTTTTATTTACCTTTTATGTGATGAGAAAAGGAGCTCAGCCAAAAATATCTTAAAAGCTATAAATTGACTCTTGACGCCGAGATAATTACTTAAACTTCTGTATTATCCTACGGCAGGGAAGGCCAAATTTGCTTAATGTCAGAGTCACATACGATAAATTTCAGAAGTTTGAAAGCCGAAAAAACATGAACAAAATTTACACTTGTAACACATGATAGATAAGGCACAAAGGTCTACCTCTTTTAACGGTGAATACAAAATCCTCATCCCACTCTGGATTTTCATCTTCATATTTTTGTTTCTTATAACTTGAGGAGACCATCTTTCTTCACAAAATTTTCACAGACACTTAAAAAAAAAAACTTGTACCTGACGTGTACTAACTAGGTCTGCACAGTTCAAAGTCTTGTGTTACACTGCATTAATATACATGACGGGAGAACGATCTCCATTAATCTCCATCACCAATTCCTCAGTCTTCGGACATTTCTCTGTGACCATTACTGACCGGAAATTTCTTTAATCCCTCTGCTACACACCATTCCTTCCCTCAGCACTAATTCAGATCTAGCATTAAAATTAGGATTTAAATTCTT